CGGGTGGTGCAAGAGCGAATAGGCTTACGGAGAGCAATAGGAAGATCCAAATCAGAAGTATGTGAGTTGGAATTACCTTGGATTGTAGAGACAGATTCATCTGAGTCCAACTGGTTGTTGTCATGAGATTGAGGGCCCCTTTTTCTTCTGTTGTATGTAAGTATCTCTTTCTGTTGCCTACTGGAGCCTTCAGGAACATGTGCAGCATCAGGAGAGGTAACTGGCACAACGGGAGCCTCACTGGGTTGACCTGGAATGCCACAAGGAATAGGAAGAGAGGATGGAAGACCCGAGGTAGATAGGGGAACAAAAAAGGAGGGAGAATGATCCTCTTCCATCTCACTAGTCTCCCCCTGAAGAGGATTATGAGAAGACTGAAAATAGAGTTGAAACTCAAAGAAGACCACATCTCTGGTGACATACTTTCTCTTGGAGACARGGTCATAACACTTGTAACCCWTTTGTGTAGGAGAGTACCCCAGGAATATTCCCTTTGTAGCCTTAGGATCCAGCTTGGTCTTCTTTGGATCCTTCACATGTATGAAACATAKACAGCCAAAGACCCAAGGAGGAAGGGAAAAATCTGGAAGAGTGGGACACAAAACAGAGAAAGGGGTTTTCATACCCAACACCTTAGATGGCATCCKATTTATCAGATATGATGCAGTAAGAACCGCTTGAGACCAGTATTGCTTGGAAACTTTGTGCTGGAATAGCAAGGCTCGAGCTGTCTCCAATAGATGTCTATTCTTGTGCTCAGCAACCCCATTCTGCTGAGGGGCATAAGCACAGGATGACTGATGTAGTATTCCAGCATCTTCCATGAATAAGTTCAAGGATTTTTCAAAGTATTCAACAGCATTGTCTGAACTGAATTGCTTAATCTTCTTATTAAACTGAGTTTCAATCATCTTGCAAAATGCCATAGTTATCCGTGGTACTTCATCCCGTCCTTTTAACAGGTAAATCCATGTGCATCGAGAGTAGTGGTCAATAAAACTCAGTTCAAATTTTTTGTAAGCTTTGAAACAGACAAAAAATTGGAGGTAAGACTAGGAACATGTAGGACTAATTTAAGAGAGAGGTCCTTGCTTAGGTCAACCACCCCCTTTCCAGAGATGGTGGAGAAAGACCCGTCAGCAACTCTCATCTTATCCTGACCAGATAACAAATGATATGAAGAGAATAAGGAAGACATATGTGTCGTGGTCAGTTGCACCGGAATCAATAACCCAAGAAGTAGAGTCAATAGATCCAGTGGCACTGAAAGCAGAGGTTGTACCTGATCTGGCAAGAGATGTAGAAGCAAAAGAATTATTCCTTAGACGGGCTAATGCCCTGCTATGGTCCTCTACCTCACTAGCAGTGACGCCCAAAGCACCAGTTCCAGAGGAATCAGTAACCTGTTCCATAGGAGAAGAAGACCCTGTTGGAGTATTCTGTGAGTTCTCACCATTGTTGCTGGTGACAAGGTTCCCACTTGCCGCTGGCCTGTTATCCATAGAAGAAACTTCTCTGGATATTGGAGACATCTTGACTGCAGCCGCTGTGAAGGTGACACTGATTAAGACTAGCCGAAGCAATTCTGAAGGTTCTGAACCAGTTCTGGAGCAGGTTCTGATTAGCCGAAATGATCACAGCAGGTTCTGAAGCAGTTCTGAAGTAGGTTTTGATTTGCCGAAGTGATTACAGCAGGTTCTGACAGCACTCGACACAGTTTCAGACTTGCCGAGACTGTCACAGTTCTGAAGCAGTTCAGTTACAGCAGCAAGCAAGGAGTTCTGGGCTGGTAACYGACCTGAAACTAAGGGTTCTCAACTATTGTGCTATGCAGACTCTACTTGAACTTCGAGTACTGCAACTGTACGGAGAGTGTCCCTCCTTCCGGCCAATACTAGAACTGCTGACATCAGTCCTCAACTAAGGTTCACAGTGCTGGACAATCTGGAGGCAGCTCCCTAGGTAATCTTCACTTGAGCTGAAGCAGTTCGGGTACAGTAGCAAGTAAAAGTTCGAGGCTGCAACTGTGTAGTGTAAGTCTTTACCACTGTGCTGTAAGAGTCTTGCTGGAGCACCGACGCTGCAACTGTAGAAGAGGCTCTCCCCCTTTCGGCTAATGCTAGGACTGCTGAAATCAGTCCTCAACTAGGTCTGTCCTATACAGACCTCTCTTAGTAGCCAAATAGCTACTACTTACTGGAAACAACCTAGTAGGACATCTACTTCTGGGTCTTACTTCCCTTGAGTCCTACAACCAAGAGAAACCCTAGGTTCAANAGGACATCTACTTCTGGGTCTTACTTCCCTTGAGTCCTACAACCAAGAGAAACCCTAGGTTCAAACTTGCTTTACTCTCTTACACCCCTAGGTCTTTACTGCAGCAACCCAGAAAAGGAAGAGAGAAGATGAAAAGACAGCAAGAGAAGAGAGTGCGCCTGCTGAAACCCTAGGTTCAAACTTGCTTTGATACCATGTAATCTTAGGAGTTGTACTCGAAGTAGTAAAGGAGAGAAGAGAAAATCTGAAATGCAGTGAATGTCGAACTGAACTGCTCAGTCGACAGTATTATTATTTATATTATGATGTAGTACAATGATACAAGAAGTTACTGGAATGCCCCTGATTAGTGATGGGACACCCAGACAACTTAAAACATTAAACAGGATTAGGCCCAGTATAGGACAACTAAAACTTAAGTATAGGCTAATAAGAACTCTTATCAGCCGAATACTCATACATACAAAGACTTCAATCCAACAATGCTAACAAAGTTGGACATATATCTGTAGAAGTTTTGTGATAATGGGAGAATAAATTAATTCCTTTCATGCATCCAATTCCTGGAGAGCATTATTTTGTGGAATAAGCTCTTCATACGGTATGCCAAGGATAGGTAAGCCACATACAATCTTCATATCCTACAATGAGATCCCCAACTCTCCAAATGATACATGCATAGTGTTGGTTGCAAGACTCCATAGTTCACAAAAGGCACGCCATACCTCTGGAGCTCAGTTGTAGGAATATCTGAAAATACCAATTGCACCATATATGTCTGTTGCCATGAAAACTTTTTCATGGTCTTTAGAATGATTTATGTCCATACCTAAATTGGAAGTTATTCTATCGTATCCCTTGCTTCAACATGTGATGAAAAGTAGGGCCTTTGCTTTCATCCAGTGGTACATTCAAAACAACAACGGAACTAATGCCAACCTTCTCTAGCATTAGCATATCCAAAGAATTTCCACTAGAAGTGGATACTTCAATTTTACTAAAATCACTATATTTTGAAGTCTTCAAACTTCCTAAAGGAATACTAGCTCGAGGTGTCCAAGTCTCTAAAATCTTTTCTTGGGGGGATGATATAAACCTCCTATAGGAAACAAATTTCACCAAAATAGGCTTGATACTCAATTCATTCCCTTGTTCATCTAGTGCCCTTTCATAGCATATAGTGGTGGCCTCGACCCTCAGGTACGTCATCCATTTGAATAATTTCAAGAAAGCAAGATAATTCCCCCTAGGGTTGGGAGGTGGGAGGTGGTGACTAGGAGAGGACAAAAGGGACCATAGGGTGAGTTGGGAGGTGGTGACTAGGAGCAAAAACCTAGGTGGCTTGGGGTTTGGGAACATCAGGAAAAGAAATTTGGCTCTTTTAGGGAAATGGTTGTGGAGACTCCCAATAGAAAAGGAGAGACTATGGGCTAAAGTTGTGGTAAGCATACATGGGCTGGAGAAAAATGGATGGGATGTTGGGATCCGAGCTAGGACCACAAGCGTGTCACCTTGGAAAGCCATTCATGAGGTATGAGCTAGGACCACAAATTTCTCCCCTCTCATCAAGTATGATTTGAACTCAGGTAACTCCATAAAATTCTAGGAACAAACATGGGTGGGGAATGCCCCTCTTAAGGACCTATTTCCTTCCTTGTTTGCCCTTTCTGACATAAAAAATGAGCCAGTTTCTTCCTATATTACCCCCTCATCTTCCTCTTCTGGGTTTGGGTGGAATTTGGGCTTGAGAAGGGCTGTGAGAGATTTAGGCTTGGATAGTATTTTGAGTCTCCTTGGTATCCTTGATAGTGTTTTCTTGGACCTTGCTAAGTTGGATTCTAGAATCTGGACCCCCACTCCCACCGGCTCATTTTCCTGTGCCTCTTTCTTCAAAGTCTTAAGTCAGTCCCCTAGTCCTGTTGTCCCTCCCTTCCCGGTTAATGAGGTTTGGTGTAGACCAATTCCCCCTAGGGTTGGTAGTTTTTGCTGGGAAGCTTTTCTAGAAAGAATCAGTACTGGTGATCTGCTCCAAAAGAAGAAACCCAAGACATGTTTATCCCCTCATAGGTGTGTTCTCTATAAAGCGGATGGGGAGACTAATTTTCACCTATTGGTGTCTTGCCAGTTTGCAAAGTCCATTTGGGTGTGGGCTTTATCCCTCTTTGGATGTAGGTGGAATCCTCCATCAAACTTGCAAAGTCTTTTTTCCCCTTCCTTCTTCAAGTGCCAAATGAAAAGGGGAAGGACCATGTGGAGATGTTTGAGGGCTGCAGTATGCTAGGCTTTGTGGGAGGAAAGAAATTCCAGGATCTTCTTTGAAGTAGATAGAGGCAATGAAGAATTGAGAGAACTGATCCATATAAGGGTAGTACAGTGGCTGAAATCTTCAAAGCTGTTTACAGACTTCACAGTGGATGACTTGTTGAGGAAGTGGGGTGAGATTGCTAAATGCACCCAGATCAAAACAATATTGAATGTGTCTTGGACCCCCCCCCCCCACCTACTGGTTTTTTAAAACTAAACTTTGATGGGAGTAGTTGGGGGAATCCTGGACACTCGGGGATTGGGGGTGTGTTTAGGGATGAGAATGGGTTTGTGTCAGCCCTGTTCTCAGGCCCAATTGGAGTGGGTGACTCTCTCAGGGCCAAGATCTTTGCAGTTTTGGAAGGAGTCCAAAGAGCAAAGGAGATGAGTATAAGAAAACTCATAATTGAAGGGGAAGCGGAGGTGGTGGTAGGGTGGCTGAATAAAGAAAATAGCAGGTAATAGATGTACAGCAATGAGAGGAGGAAATTTAGGTGGTTGGTTCAAGAGATGGAAGTCAAGATCAGCTAACTCTTTTGCTGATGGGTTAGCTAAGCAAGGGGTCGAGTGGGAGTCTATGTTTTGGGCACAAGTGTAATTTTTCCCTTTTTCTATTCTTGGGAGCTCAAGCTCCAAATGGAAGATAAGAATGTTTATCTTCCTCCACGTAATTACTTCTGTGATTAATTAATGAAATGTTGTTATTGATAAAAAAAAATGATGATCTACAGTAAAGATCATCATAACCTTGAATTTCGATTGATTTTTAATCATCCATATTGATAATTCCTCAGATCCTTGATTCTTAATCTTTAATTTTAATCTTAATGGATTTTTTATCTTATTAGGTCCTACATGATGGGATCTGCATTTACAGATTAGTAGAGCCTCTAATTGATTTTAGTCATAATCATAGTTGTCAAGGTGACGCCTAGGCGCGGCAATTTTTAGAGGTTGCCTCACCCAATGCCAAGATGTTTTTAATATTAGGCACTCACCCATATACATATTATATTATTTTTTTGAATGCACATATGTAATATCATTTTATTGGATGGTTTTATTTTATTAGAATACACCTTGTTGTATGTTATCATGTTTTAATTCTCTTTTATATTAAAGCTTCAAAAGTTTCTTTGGGTTTGTGTTTTTTTTTATCAATAACATCAACTTCATTAAATTAAGAGAATAGAGGGAAAAGAATACAAAGGGAGATAAAATAACTTAGCTCCCCAAAAACAGAAAACACAGGGAATGCAAAGAAAATTAAAAACTAGCCCAAAAAACAGCCTCCCTATTCACTCCTTGCTT